TATTCGGCACTACTATTTTCACTGTCACTGTCTCCAATTTTAAGAGTAAAAAAATAATAATAATAAAAAAAATATTTTTAGGAGACTGTATAATAGGAAAACTATTATTAAATAACTTTTAGGTTTCTTATGAATACCACTTCTGAATTATTATATTATATTTAAATAAAATCAGAATTATTTAACAAACTCTTTATTTCTGTACGTTAGTCGAGAGACTGCTTACAAATTTTAACTTAAGAATAATCCTAACAAAAATACTCTTCGTCAGCACATCAGCGCAGCGGCCAGCTGGCTGCATGACGTAACGCCTGTATCAGCGAATTTATACTCGCCGCACAATTTTATAAAAGTAAACAATATAATATCGTCCGTAAAAGGCGTAGAATAATTATTAATGTAACACAAGTGAACTTTAAATTTTGGTACTGACAAATATCATTTTCGGTCATCTATTGGTCGAGTCAAAAACGGTAAATAGACAGGATTGCTTAATTCCTTAAATAATACATAACACGTACTTTGGCCAAATTCAGAGGCCAAATTTCACTGTAGTTCGGTCCACTCGTTGGCATACGTGAATAATATTCAATTCCTATTTCACTTTTCCTCCCATATCAGCAAGGACTGCAGTTTCTATGAACAAATTTGGCCGATTAAACAGTCCTGAATTGTTTTTAAACAGACTTCATAACCGGTCTAATTTTTCCATAAAATCGTTAGTTTCGCGACATCAATTTTGACGTCATTGCAATATTTGCTGGCATGAGAAGAAATGAAATGGAAAATAAATATATTGACGTATACAAACGAGTGGAAGTGAGACTCTTATCGAGATTCGTAATTATGCTTTAAAATTTGGCGATTTTACGTCTTATTCTTGGTCTTATTGGATAGTTTACAATTATTGGTCATGGATTGCTACACAATGCTACACATTTTTAAGGTCAAGTTCTGCACAATCAAAAATTTTCTTGTGGCAACCCTGGAACGCGTTGGTGTGCGCTAGAATGATCGCTCATGTTATCGCTGCCCTGATCGTGATAGTGGCCGTGATCACACCAGTGTGTGTATGTAGCTTTATAACCGAATTTTTCAGGAACCGTGTTCCATAATAAGAAAACTTTCAGGAAACCGATAGGAACGAAACATAAAATCATAACCAAGGTAAGCAACGGAATACATCCTTAATGTATTGGTGTAACATATTTAAAAAAAGGGCAGATTTTATGTGACTGACATTGCTGCAATAAAATTATACATCATTGCCGCATATAAAGAAGATTTTATATTTTCCATGGTCTTTTTAAATGTTATTTTAAACAAAAATTATAACAAGCTGTATGCTGTATTCCTTAAGTTTTAATAAGATACATTAGACACTTCTAATTTTAAATAACACTTTGTATCTTTAAGGCAGGTTTCTTCCAAATTTCAACTGAATATTCTAAAAAGTAACTGCTTTACGCGTTACTTCCTAGAATATTTTCGAAATAAATATGATGGGAAAAAACGACGTCAGCGATAGCTATGAAATCAAGATTGCTGTGATTTATATGTAAATTTATATGGGAAATGTCATCGATCGTTATTTCCCAGCCAACTGGACGTCGTTTTTTCGATCATACAGTACATTTAATTAATAATATTTTAATTTGCAGGTCCAATTCAACAATAGCAGATTTTATGCAAAAATAAACGTCCGATTTTCACCAAAATTGGTATACACACTATTTTGAGGTCGTTACGAATCTGAACTTTTTTCTTGGCGGTCTCTTACCGTTTTTCAGAAAAACGGAAAATTATTTCAACATTGAATTTTTCTTTATTTCGGCCCTATAAAGTAATTTCACTATATTTTTATTATTTATAGTTTATCTAAAAGCCACACTTGATTGGGGATAGAAAAATGTCCAAAATTTTACTGAGAAACGCTTTTCTTAACAAAATAACAAAGAAAATTTAAACCAGATAGAAGTTTGACATTTGATATATCCTTCTTTCTCTCTCCTATGTAATGAGAGAGACAAATATATTCTAGACTTAATCTAGAAATTTGAAAATTTACAACGTTGCCATATCTTCTACTTTTTCGGGTGATTAGGGATTTTAAATAAGTTACCTATTATGAGATCGACAATAATTAAATATACCTACCTATATCCACAAAGTTACGCGGAAGAGTTTTGATTGCATTGGTTTCAACTTCTATGCGGAGGGGGTTAATCTTTTTTTTATATAATATAACAAAAGATTAACACCCTCCGCATGGAAGTTGTAACCAATGCAATGAAAACTCTTTCGTGCAACTTCGTGGTTATACATAGTCAGATCTCGTTGATAAATATATAGTCTGTCCAACGAGAAGATCCTTAACAGTGATAGATGTGTCTGTCATTTTAATTTCAAAGTAGTTTATTTTATTTTACAAAGAAATAAGTTGGTACAACTGGAACGCATAGTAGGAAATTCTAAAATTTGACTGACAAGTGATTACTTCAAAATATTGTGAAAAAAACTGTATAAAACTGAAATCGAGTTATTTTATTTAATAAAAAAACGGTATGTGTCACATACAAAACAAACAAGAGCAAGACACCCCATACCAAAAAAATATAAAAAAGAACTATTTCTTACTTTCAAGCTTTATGAAACTTCCCGCATTTATGATTATATTTATCAATATAACTTATGTACAGCTGGTTCCAATAAAATTGAATACGATTTAAAACATATTTTTATTATTTGGGGCAGTATATTCTATGATACCAGTCCTCCATTTCTTTACTCATGTCATGCTGACATTCTGAAAAGTTTATTTGGCACTTTGTCAAAAGCAAAGTTGTTTTATTCAATGTCAACAATAACCTTAACATGTCAAAATGCAGGTCACATAAATATACACTGCTCAAATATTCGAAAAAAATGTGTAAAGAGTCGTATTCATTTTTTTTGGAACCAGCTGTACAAATACAAATTTGTAATATTCCGCAGGAATAAATAAAACAACATAAATAAAACAAACTATTTTATTAATAATAACACTTACCAAATTTTATACCTTAAAGGTTGATTAATTAACTTTAATCTCAATTTTTTTAAACCAGTACCTTTTGACATAATTTTTCTGCAGTACTAAAATCTATTCTTTACCTATATTAGATATTTTACAGCTACTCCAGTTTTTAGTATGTGTTTAGTATGGTCCTTCTACCATATTTGAGATGCACTTATGTACGACGAGATGGGATACGAACTTTATTGATGGTAACTTGGTAACACTTTATTGGTGTATCTGTATAAGACTTTCTGCCTGGACAGCGAGTATGAACGATAAACTATGCTCTGGGTCTACAGTTAATTTTCATTCGATTTTTCCTCCACTTGACTTCAAAAGACACAAAACACACGTAATAACACGAATCAAAATGCATCATCTTCCAAAACGCAGGGTATTTGACAAAAGTTGTCACAAAATTATAACCTATAATTTGGCAAGACTTTGACAAGCGTCAAAAATCTAAAGGCGAGCTCATACGCATCGGCGTTCGTTTGTCGTTCATCGTTCCGCCAAACCAATAAAATTGAAATACGATCTGTCATTTTTGAAATAAACCAATAAAACTGGTTAAAAACAACAAGAGACGACGCATGACGGATTTATATTTAAACCCATCCATAGTTAACTTAAAAATTATTAGAAACTTTTTTTAGTAAAATAAATAGATTGGTATGGGACGTCATCTGCTTTTCTTCTGCCATTGTCTGTCGAAATCCATAGATAAACGAAACAAGTTTAGATTGGAAAGTGCCCATAAGGACAATGTAAACACTATTTGGCGCTAATCTAGCAACGGTCGCGACCCAAAACTTTTGAAAATTTCGGAGCGGTTCGGCTTTTTCCGGAATTATATCGCCAAATATTGTTTATTCAAATTTATTATTATTTTCGTTTAATTTTATAAATAAAATACAGTGTGTTGCATACAAGAAACTTTATTTTATATAAGGACGCATGTATGAAATACCTATGAAACATTGGAAATCGATGTTATGCCACGATCCACGATGGTTTTTGCAGTTCACAGTTCACAGCACAGCTTTTTAAGTTTTTAATGCCACTTTTTCACAATTATCACCGGTTGGAGTAAATAAAACTTGAATTAAACTCACAAGATAGCAATAATTACTTTGAAAATGGACGTTATATAAACACTTTTCGGAATTTCTTTAATGAGAGCGGTTTAGATTTTGAAAGATTATTATGATTTTTGAAGATTCTGACTTTGACAAGAGAAAATTATTTCTGTTTTTGTTTGCCGTTGTTCTTAGCGACCGCTATAGCAGCGCCAGATCGCGTATAACGGTCGCGACCCAAAATAATTTCGCGACCTAAAATTTTTACGGGCTTTCCAATCTAAACTTGTTGCATTTATCTATGTCGAAATCTTACCTGAGAAAAAAAACAGAGTATAGCAATTATGGGAAGGAGCATGGAAGGAGCTGTTCTTCTGGCGACCGCCTTTTGTAACTTGTAACCCAGAATGAGCGAAAAAAACACGCTAAATTTAGATTTAGCATTGGCAACGTTGCTTTAAATGCCAGAAACAGATAGCCCAACATTTTCAGATTGTTTACAAATTTATTTTAGGAAATTTTCCTCTATTATGCACAGAATTGGTTAAAAAAGTAACAGAAAATAGCAATAACATCATTGTTTATTGAATACCTAACAAAATATGTGCTAGAAAACCTTAAAAATATGAGAAATTAAGAAAAATTCGATATTGAAATAATTTTCCGTTTTTCTGAAAACCGGTAAGAGACAGCCAAGAAAAAAGATCATTCAGATTCGTAATCTACGACCTCAAAATAGGGTGTATACCAATTTTGGTAAAAATCTGACGATTTCCAGTTTTCCCAATAATTACCGAAGACTGTAATATACTGTGATATTTATAAAAATTGTTTTTAATAAATATTGTATCCATAATGATTACCTTTTCTTGAACTTCCAAAAACACACAGCGTATTCTCATTTGTTGAAAACTCTGCTGATGAAACACAAACTGTTTCACAACCTTTCTCGTGTAGAAAATCAATTGCCTTCCATATATCATTTATATTTTCAATTTTTATGTTTGTTAAAATTTCAATCTCAAACAGATTTGGAGTCAAAACTGTAGCAATGGGAACAATTAAATTTTGATATAGAGGTATAAGCTCTTGAGGAACGTACAGTTTTCCATTATCGCCTAGGACAGGGTCACAAACTAAAAATAATTTAATTTAAACTAATAAATTAGTGCATTCTTTATACTACATTTTACCATAGATTATGTTAGGATTTTTATCTTTCAATTTGCTATATACATTTGCAATTTCTTTTAGAAAACTAGGGGAACCGATGTATCCAGTAATTAAGTGACTATAACTATCAATATTATTTTCTGTAAGACCTGTTACCAATTCTGCCAATTCTTTTTCCGTTAGCACTTGTCCTTTTACAAATTTGTATCCAGTATGATTTGAAAACTGAACTGAATTGATAAAATCAACATCAAACCCTAAAAGCTGTATATCACAGTACAGTACTTTTCTTAGAACTTTGCTGGGTAATTTGGATAATTAATAATTATAATACCTGCATAGGAAAAACTGCACTTTTATTTCCCACGTAACCTGAAACAACATGACTCTGAATTGATAATACCTTAGGAGAATCCATTATTTGTAATCTTCTGTCTAAACTCACTTTTTACTACTACTTTGACTTTTTCTAAAAAAGTTTATTAATTCATATCTTATCTATTTATATATTAATAATTTATCCGTTAATAAAATCTTATCTTCTGCCAATTACATTTATGAAAACACAACAATATAAAATCATTCGAGTACATACTGAGCTATACCTGGCTATACTAAGCAAATATGAAATAATTAAATAAAATTTCTCACCACATAACCCTACGCGGAAATCACAATAAATATGTAAATAATGATAACATGTCTCGCGCGTGACTGGCTCAATGTTATTCTATGTATTTAATAATTATTATTGTTATCACAGATTGTTATTTTTGGATAATAATACCCAAAATAATAGGTTTGGTCGGTTTTGTTTATTTTCTAAAATCGGAAGACATATGGTGGAAGGGCGGAAGGGGGAAGACACAGACCATAGATAAAAGAAAATAATCTTCTATTAAGATAGATATGAAACTTAATAGTAAAAGTTTGGGTCAAAGCGCCCCTCCGTGTTCTTAGTAGAGACTACGTTTAACCCAGCGCCTTCGCCTTTTCTGCTGTAAATATTTTTTATGTTTATATTTGATTTCAAAGGATTTAGTTTTAAAGTTACCCTGATATATTAGTATATCAGAGTAACTTTAATAAAACATAAGAATATATATATTTTACAGTTTATTAAATATAAATTTTGACTACAAGGTAGAAAGTAAATCACAATATTTGATAAAACTTATAAGTATACCATTTTTACAGTTAATAAATAATAAAACTATTTCTGACTATGATATTTAACATTTAGATAGTTAGAATATTAAAAAACATACTGGTATTTGCAGACGCAGGCCCAAATTCAATAAAAACCAACATTTTTCCTGCGTAAATCGGGTTTTTTTCACAGAAAAGGTATTTTTTGATTTATCAACAATCATTGTCAAGTTGACAATATACATGGTGTTTTCTAATTAGTCTAAAAAATTGTGGTGTGATTCCTCATGTGTTCTTAAAACAATTTTTACATAACCATTAGGTCTAAAGTACTTCTTTTCTGATCTACAGGGTGTTAAAATTTTAAAAAAAAATTGATATTTTGCTTAAAATAAATGGTACACTACTGCTTTTTTAAAGAAAATATATTTTTTTCTTGACTGGTCATCCTTTTTCAACAAAATTGATCTTTTGAGTTTTTCTTGTTCATCAAACGGTTGCCGAGAAAAAAATAAATATACTTATTAAGAGCCCGCCTTAAGCCGTTTTCTAACGATTTTTATTTTTTAGATTAATTAGGAAACACCCTGTATATACAGGATACATTAAAATACGCAACCAACCGTCCAATCAGATGAAAGAGGTACGTACCCTATCGTTGGGTATTGTGCAATCACGTGATACTCATGTCGTATGACGGTTAAATCTTTGGTTAGAATTTTTGTTGTTGTTTTTACCTGTTTTTACAGTTTTTACTTTATTTTTCTATTTACATCAGATTTATATTTTGTAATTGCCTATCAGACAATACGTATTTAGAAAAATAATAAGAATTAGGATCGTGTTTTTTTTTAAATCCTGTATATTAATTGGAACCCTTGATAACATTACTGCTTTTGATATAAAAAGTGCATTTTTGATTATTTACTTGGGCTAGGATATTAAAATATCGGTTGGATTGTACGACATAAATAGATGTAGGTATGATTATTTATATATATGTATGTATTTATAAAGCTTACTATCTGATTTGCATTTTCAGTTTTTGATCAGATATTTCATTTTATTTGTGAAATGCCCACAAAAAAGCTTCCAATGATTCAACATCAGTGTGTTTGCTGCATAATGGATCATTCCTGCTGAATTTTTAGATCATTTGAAGACTACACGGAAAAAACCAGATAATATGTTACATTTTCATAGAAATTGATAGCGAGACAATTTTATAGGCAAGTGTTAGCATTATTCGAGGCACCATCAAAGAAAGCAATAATAATATGCTTAGTCCCAGAGATATTACAGCTTAGTTATTTTGCCCTACAGGAGAAAAACCAGAGTAGTTCACTCGTAATTGCATTTTCTCGGCTCCAGTTAAAATGAACAAAGCTGGTTTTTCCTGTGGTCTTCATTTGAAATAACGTAAATAAATGTTTATACATATGTATGTGATGATTAAATTGGTGTTAAGGAAATAAAAATGTTTTTCGATATTAATATATACCTATATATGTATATTTATTTTGAAATAAATTACACTTTTAACAGTTTAATGGAGTTTTTAAAGCCAGTTATAATATTTATATTTTAAAAACTTGAAATCATGTGGATGTAATCACGCATTAAACCACAGACTAACTTATATAAGTCAAAAAGTAGATTTTAGTGTTAACTTTATATAACTTGTAAGTAAAATAATAAATAAAACAAATATGAAAAAACCAACAATTCTAATGTATATATTAAAATACAGTACAATAATAGGTATCTGATACCCTCACTTAACGTAGAATAATATTCTACCCAACTCAATACTATGTCCAACATGAGTTTCAAATATATCGGGCCCTAATCGTTCCTGAAAATAATATTTTTTTACATTGTTATACCATATTCTAAACTATTTAATATTTCAGTCACTTAAAAAGTTAATTTGTATTGAATAATTGTCTACCATTAAAGCAAATTTGGACTAGTATTTTTAATGGGCATATTCTGTGTATGGATATAGGTACTTCCTCCAGATTTTGGGTTCAACCAATTTATTCTTAAAACCTGAAACATCTACGTATAAAAAATAGACAGGTTATAATTATAATAAAATTTGCCCTTAGAATTACTTCTATTGCAAGCAATTTCCATTGGTATACTTTTCCATGACAAATGATCAACTTCCTAAAATTTTCAATTGATGTAATACTTCCTCATGATGCGAAAAGAAAATCTTTTCGTTAGCACACAATGGACAAACGATATGTTGGCTTACTTTCAGATTAGTTACTTTTCCATAGATATCCTCATGTCAATTCAAAGACGATGAACATGATGATCATCACATGAAACATCACAAACTAAAAACCTAATAAACAAGTTTATATCGAATATAGAAATAAATTTAGTGTTCTTACCTATTGTCGTCCAAATCCACGTTAATAGATAATTAATTTTTTGGAATTTTATCTTTTATTTTTAAATATATCTTTCGAACTACTGGTTTTAGTAATTATTAAATTAAACGAACTAAAAAGTCAAAAATAATAAACAATTCTCTTGTCAATTGTCAATTTTCTCCAGGCACCGAACATTATCGATAACGCACGATCTACGACGATTACTCCTTTGATCTGATTGGACGGTTCAATGACGGTTGGTTGCGTATTTTAATGTATCCTTGTATATACATAGCACAGGCAACCAAATAAACTAGTAACCTCTAAAAATTATTTTTCCTATCACTAGCGACATACCGTGTTTTTAGTGAGTACTAAATTATTTTATCAAAATTTCACCATATAAGTCTCCAGGCAATGTCACAGACACAGAACGACAGAACCATGGAGGATGGGGGAGTAAGAGAAGGAAGACTCTTGGAAAAACGTATTTGGAAAAACGGGACCAGAACGGGACCAGCCAGCCATTTTGATGGTAGTTTTGTGTCACTTTTCAATTCTAAAAGCCTTCTAAAAGCATATTTCTCTTTGATATTTCTATTTCTAAGGAGGAAAATTGATTCCCTAGAAGAAATTGAGCATATAGATATAGTCCATGGATATCAATGAATAAAGAATCCAAGGACAAATAACCCCCGAGAGCAAATTGTGACGATGTCACCAATCAGTGCCGTGGCACATATTTTTCTTAACCTAGCTGTTGGAAGCAATAGGGAGTTTTCGTTGCTTTAAAAAAATTCTACGGTACGGTTAACGGATACGTAACCATAACCGCTATTTTGACAGATAAAAAAATAATTTTCGGACTTTCGGTTCATCGGTTCGGAGCCGACATACGATACGATAACCCAGAGAATAGGTACATTAAAGAAATGCTAACTTCATGTTAAAAAATGGAAACAGACGCCACCTGGTGTCGCCTGGCAGTACTAGCTAAATTGAGGGGAATTGGAGAGAAAATATTTTTATAAGTATCACTGACTTACTGTTTAAAGTTAATAAACATATTTTTTATTACTTTAATATAATTTAATGTATTAAAAAATATGTCTATTAACTTTACACAGCAAATCAATGATATTATTAAAGACTTATTATTTTCAGAGAAAATTCATAGTAAATAAATTACACATTAGTAAACATATCATTTATTTTTTAGAGCTGCGATTTATATTACAATAATATTGAAATATATATATTTTTTAACAATGAAAAAGAATATCCCGGAACCTGAAAAAGAAAGATGATCAATTAATGACTTAAATTAGTTCAAAATACATTTTGCAAATAACTAGTGAATTGGACAGATAAACATACTATTAAAAAGACATTTTAGTAGTATATTATCATCTATTTACTGATAATACATAAGTATATAATAGGTAAATAACATGCATAAGGCACTATGATACAACTACCTGTATCATGATAACACACTAACATCACAAAAAATATATGCTAATTTAAATTTCTTTAATGGTCTAATGAAACACTATCTAGCCTCAATGCATGCCATTCCAAAGGCAAAAAAAACTGTTAACCAAATAAATATAAGCTGAATAAAACATAAACCAAGCCAACGTGCATAAAAAACCAAAAAATGCATCAAAAAATACTTTTATCAGATCATACCCTTGGATATATTATGTATTTTATATATCGCACATCCCGTTCAAAAGTTTACTAACTCAAAATAGAGAATATAGAGAACATTGTCAAGAGAAGTAAAAGAAAATTTAAGTTAAGGCAATATGCTCCTTTTTGGATATTAATGGCCAAATAATATAATGTTGATTTAATAAAATTTTACTGGCATCCTTCTGAGGTATAAATCAGATTAAAAGGACATTGTTTTTGTAATAATTGTTTGTTTTGTAAACATTTTTTGAAGACAATACAGTTTTGAACGGGCTGTGCGATATAAACAAGGATCTTACTATTATTTGAGGTTAGAAAGTATTTAAATAACATAAAACATAATCAAAATCATTTGTCATCATAAATTATAGAGGTACTTACGTGTTTTGATATTATTATCAGGAAATAATACGTTTAGTTAAACAGGTACGCTGCCAGGCAAGTTCTATCGGCGGGTCTTTGCAAAAGTTGAAATCTAAAAATACAAAACTACGTTTACATCTTAGTTGTATTTACGAATAAAGTATTTGTGTGTAATTTCTGACTTACCAGTTAATTGAATAATCGCATTAAATACATCCAAATGGTAATTTAATATTGTAAAAAGCAAAATTGTTTTAAAT